AACCCTAAACCCTAAACCCAAATTCTAAACCCTAAACCCTGAACTCTGCACACCTTGAACTCTGAACCCTAAACACAGCACCCCAAAACCCGAGCTTCTTCGGGCTTTCACGAGGCCCATGGCTCGAACCGACATTGTCTGTGCGTGTCTTCGCTTGGGGGATACTTCGTGGACCGACAGGTAGATGAAACCGCCCCACCCCGAAACACTATTAACGTCACTAGGGTTTAGGGGTTTAGGGTTTAGGGTTCAGGGTTCAGGGTTTAGGGCCTCCGCATTATGCATGTAACCTACACCCACAGCACCACACAAATTGCCAGTGTCTCAACCTGGAAGCCTAACTGGTGAACGACACAGCATAAGACCCCGATGAAACCCTCGTAAGACCAAATGAAACCGGCATGAAACCTTTTCCATAGAGCCTTCAATGCCCCATCAGAAAATCAGGACCTATGCCTACAAACCTTTTGTTAAGAACCCTTGTCAGACCCTTATCAGACCCTAAATCCTAAGCCCAAAATTACAAACCCTCAACCCCAAAATCCAAACCACAAGCCCTAAACCCCGAAAGCGATATTCAACCTAAACCCTAAACCCTAAACCCTAAACCCTGAACCCCTCTTTGACGCCAACCCTCAGGTCGCCATGAGGCAGCTTTCTGCGTCGGTGGACGTGGTGGATCTGCTGTGAGGGGCTTCGCAAGGGGTTTATGGGTTTAGGGGTTTAGAGTTCGATTTAGGGTTTATGGTTCAGGGGCAACCCTAAACCCTAAACCCTAAACCCCCCCTAACCCAGAACAGGTTAAGGGGAGCCTTACAAGTCTTAAAGGGTCATCTGAGCAGGAGCGCAGTGCTTTGTATGGAAGCTGCTGCTCGAAAAACTAGGCTTCCTCAGTATAGCTTTGGGTTTTAGGGTTTAGGGTTTAGGGTTAAGGGTTTAGGGTTCCTCTTAGCGGCATAACCTCAGAGCGAATCCTGATTCAGAACTCTTTACTCAAAGTTTCTTTGAGAAGAGACGGTGCACTGGTGCGAAACCGGCATCAGAATTATCAGAATTCATGGGAGCTGCAGAAGCCAACAGGCAGGGTTTAGGGTGTAGGATTTCGGGTGGCTACGGGATTGAGGATGCAGGATTTCGTCTCTAGGTGATACGGTCATTTCCCAGATGCCATTGAGGAGAGTTTGGGGTTTCGGGTACGTGCTTAGGATGTGATTAGCTTTTCGGGCTTAGGTCGTCTATCGTCCAGCCAGCCTAGCATCCAGGTTTTCGGCCCACATTGTACGGCCTAAACCTTGAGAAACCGAAACCCGAACCCTCAAATCGGAAATCATGTGCATACTGTCTACGCCTTAACGCCTACACTGCTGGAACCCCAGTTCTATTCTATTGTAAACCCTGGCTGCAGCTCCCACTAGCCAAATTACTGCCATCTGGCCGAAATCGAAGCGTCATCGATGTCAGCGACGTGCCGAGGTGTTGCGTCATGAACCCAGACCCCTAAACCCTAAACCCAGTATAAACCCTAAACCTTATATACACCCTAGACGCTTTGTAAGCCCTCTATATATATATATATGTATATATATAAATTAGACCCTTCCTCTAACAGTAAGAAGAGCCCTCTCTTTAGAAGGTGTGGGTAGGGTCATTTCGGTGACGTTTAGATATGGCTTTGAATACTTAATTTAAGGGTTTTGAATACATATTTCTAGGGTTTAGAACACTTATTTCTCTGGTTTTGAACACATATTTCTAGGATTTAGAACACTTATTTCTAGGGTTTTGAACACGTATTTTTAGGGTTTGGAACACTTATTTCTGGGGTTTTGAACACTTATTTCTGGGATTTAGAACACTTATTTCTGGGATTTAGAACACTTATTTCTGGGGTTTTGAACACTTATCTCTGGGGTTTAGAACACTTATTTCTGGGGGTTGGTGG